AGGCTATTACATTATAACAATAACTATTTATGTAGCGCTTATTCCTTAAGAGTCCACAAGCGCTTCATATTAATAAGAAATTTTTATAAAAAATTTAAGAAAGAATTGTCATAAAAAAAAAAACAGTACACGTTGTTCTGAATCAGCTTTGCAGTAGTCTTTGGACTTCTCGTTCTTGGTTTTTTATATTTTGGCTGATTAGATCTCTCTTCTTGAGATCCAACGCTTACAACTAGGAGGAACTTCGTCCACAGCTTTGCAGTTAATTTATAGTCCTTCGAAATTGATACCCTATTTCAGCCTAAAACGGCTAAAAAAAGTATACCCTTAACTAAACTATAGGTGGTTTTCATGCAATCTCGGGAGACACAAATAACAATGGTGAAATGAACAAATGCTGGTGTACAAACAAAGCGACCTAATAAGCGATCTTTTGTTTACCGTCCATCAGCATGGTGGCGATGACGTAACGTGAAAACCACCTATATAGGTATGTGCGCGGCACATACCTATTTAGCCTATATAAGGGACTAACCCCCGGGGCGAAAAACGCGTTGCAGATTATGAGTCTCGCTGCTTACGCAAGCGAGACTAACAAGCACTTTTTGTGAAGAAACGTCTTCAGGGCTTTCTTAAAACTGCCTACAGAATCGCACACTCTTTGCTCCCGTGGAAGAGCATTATAAAGCTGAGGGGCACATATGGAAAATGACCTAAACCCGTACGATTTTAAATTATAGCGGAGCTCTCGCGCGCGAAGCGCGCAGCGGAGCACCATGGGTAAGAAAATGTGGTAAACTACCCATCCAAGAAAATTTGGTAATCACATGACCGTACACCGAGCGAGCGAGCGAGCGACCGTCCGTCCGCACCACAGGCATACCAATGTAAAATAACTCAATCAACAGGTATGGCAACCCAAATGCGACTCAAGGTATTATTTAGAACAAAAAACAACAACATAGTCATGTCTTTTCCGGCGTTATTTTTTATGTTTACATTAACGTGGACAACAGAGAAAGAGCTAGAGCGAGTTACTGAAAACAAAGGAGACGAATTTCTTAGGAAGAAAAACATGGAAATTCAAAGCGGCGGTGAGAAAATGAGAAATGCTAGCGACCAGCAAGGTGAAAATGAGCGGCAATGAAAAATAAAAGCGAACATGAACACAGGAGACAAAAATATTGGGTAAGCACATACGACAATTCCTCCATGAAAAAAATGAGTAACTAGGAAGTTTGACGTTTTAGCCGTACAAAACAGCGTTGGAGTCGTGCAAAACAACAACAAGGGAAAGACAAAAAAGCGTGCTGCACGTGCAAATTTTTTTTTTTGCTAATTAGAGGAAAAAGTGTGCTGCACGTGCAATTTGTTTTTTTTTTTTTTTGGCTAATTACATCTATTAGTCTTGAAGCCATATTCATTGTCGTCCGCGTTTAGCATTACACGATTCAATTTTTTTTGTTTACACGTATCATTAACCAGAGCTTCGCTTTTAGCCCTGGCTAAATCTATTTATTAGGATTGTGTCTTCAGAAGCTGCATGTTTCGTGATCTAAGGCTACTGCAAGGTCTATAATTACATGTACTTTTATAGTGCTATTCGTTGCACGTGCTTTCTTTCCACCCTTCTTGCTGTTACTTCCTAGTAACATCAACTATGTGGATCCTTACATACAATCCTTCAGTGGTAATAATTTTAGTTTTAAAGCAGTTAGAGCCTCACTTACCCACTGCTCGAGAAAGGAGTAGGAGGATCCCGATCCCATTAGAAGGGTCCTTTTCTATATCCACCATTAGTGATGGTCTTTGATTCACACCACAAAGAAGAACTAATTCGTCTCATTCAAAAGTGTCTGGGAAAGTTAAGTTTTGCTCTCAAGATCTTGGAGTTGCGGAGTTACAAAAATTACAGTAATGATAATGACGATGATAATGATGATAATAATGATAACGATATTTAAAATAATAATGATAACAATAAAATCGCTTCTCCTACCCACGGAGTGCATAGTTGACGGGAATTTTTCCTCCGGTGAATAGACTTTTTTTGGACAGCCTACTTATAGGCCAGTCTATCTTGGGTGCACTGCTAAAACTGATCTCTCTCCTAGGAGAAATAAACTTGAGAAACCTCTTTCAAGGGTCATCTATTAAGAATTGAGGATAGCTTCCTTTGGGTCAGGAGACAAAAGTCGTCTCCTCCATTTTGCGTTTAGGAAAAGCCATTAAAAAAAATACGCGCAGCTTCTTGTGTCTCCCTCGCCACTCGCACGACCACTCTACTAACTATGTAGCCTGCGTAAAAGTCCTCGAAAGCCTCATCGATAACCCTTTGGAAAAACGCAATTTGCTTTTTCTATGTAGAATATCGTAAAACGGATTTTCCCTGGCCCATTTTGTCTAAAAAAAGAGGAAAAAATTCAAATTTTTCATCAAAACCATGGACTAACCGTTTTGAAAAAATGCCTTTTTTTCGACTTTTTTAAGTCAGTGTTTTTATATTCTAGAAAAGATTTTTTTCTATCAAGAATATCATAAAAAAACAATTTTCTTCCCTATTTTGACATAAATAATAAGATGGAAAAGTGTCAAATTTTTTATGAAAACCATGGACCATGAAAAAAATGTAATCTTTTCGACCTGTTTAAGTCGATGTTTCAGTTGTCCGGAAAGGCTTTTCTTCTATCTAGAATATCGTGAAACACATTTTCCTTTTTTACTTTGCCTAAAATAAAATGATGGAAATTAAAATGTTCAAACTTTTGGCCAAAACCATGGACCAACCTAGCTACTTGTTGAGAAAAATGCAATTTTTCAAGTAGCTGTTTTTTTTTTTTTCCAGAGGCTTTGCTTTCAGTCTAGAATATCGCCACACACATTTTCCTCCCCTTTTAACGCCTGCCACTCAGGGTAGCTTTTCACCCCTTGCCTTCCCCTTTTTCTACGCCTGCCATCAGGTGTATGCAGGAAGTGATGGACCGTCGCGTCGTCTCTTAAAACAGCCGCGTCAACAGCTTTAATTTGTCAGCTGAGATCCATTCTCGTCCCCAGAGCCACTCTGGCGACGAGAATGGTAACGAGAATGGCTGAGATCTCTCATGATCATGCGCAGTTGTATTGTCTTTTTCGCGCCCTTTCGAGGAGACGACTCACAGTGACCGCATAGGCAGTGGAAAAGGCTTTTATTTTCCTTATTACCGATTTTAACTTGTGCATTATCATGGTCTTGATAGAAGATTCATCGTGGGAACCAATCAAAGAGACTGACAAGCAACAATTTTGCGTGGAAATGATGAAACGCCTCGATATTCAACGAAGGAACGAGCAGTTCTGCGATGTTGTTTTGGAGGCGTGCAACGGCGAGGATCTTGCTCGCTTTAAAGCTCACAGGATCGTGTTATGTGCAGCAAGCCCATTTTTCTACAGTGCTCTTAACAGCGACATGAAAGAAAGCAAAGAAGGACTTATTAGATTAGAAGATACGAGCAAAGTTGCGATCGAGGAATTGTTAGACTATCTTTACACCGGACACGTGGATGTCACGCGACACAACGCGTTCGACTTGTTAAAGATAGCTGATTTCTTGGTGATTCCCAGTTTGAAAGAGGTTTCAAGCAAGTTTATGATACAAGCATTGTCTTCTTCAAACTGTCTCATGGCATATTATTCGGCTGTGAATTATCGGTGCATCGAATTACAAGAAAAAGCGAGGGATTTTATCTGTGCAAATTTCGAGAGCGTTGTTGAACACGAAGATTTTCTGAACTTAACCATCAGCGAGGTGGAAGAGTGGATATCAAGCGATGAAATCAGAGTGAGAGGAGAAGAAGACGTTTTCCAGGCAATTGTGAAGTGGGTAGAACAAAAGGGGAGCCGAGAACGTGAAAAATTTTTTGAATTATTTCGTCATGTTCGGCTTATTTACTTGTCACGCAACTATGTTTTCAATGAAATTTTACCACATCCTTTTGTAAACGAAGACAAAGAATGTGCAGCATTTGTCTTAGATGCAATGAAAGAGGTTTCTTCAGGCTCTGAAGAGTGCTTTTTTGCTCAAACACCAAGAAACTGCCTGAAGACAACAGAAGATTGCCTCGTTTTTTTGGGACCAAGTAAAACGCTTTGTTATGTTCCCCCAGAAAACAAGTGGTATCAGATGGTAGACAAAACCAAGAGCAGGTATATGTATTCTGCGAGTGCTTCTCATGGTAAAGTTTATATCAACAATGGACCTGGTTTTGATTATCCTATTGAGCGTTTTGATCCAGCCATAAACTCATGGGCTCCTCTGACATCGTATTGTGGCCAGATGTCACACTCCTGTGCAGCTGTGGTTCATTTCCAAGGATTTTTGTATGTGATTGGTGGGGAAAAAAAGGGAGAGGTAGCAAATTGTGTACATAAATACAATCCAGATACAAACCTATGGCAGGAAGTAGCAGCAATGAATGTTTCACGATCTTCACTGTGTGCTGTAGCTGACAAGGACACCTTATATGCAATTGGTGGTTGTTCAAACATACAAACACTGGATGTGGTAGAAAGATTTGATCCCAAAATGAACTCCTGGTGCAGAGTTGCTTCAACTCTAGAAAAGAGATGTGCTGTAGCTGACAAGGACACCTTATATGCAATTGGTGGTTGTTCAAACATACAAACACTGGATGTGGTAGAAAGATTTGATCCCAAAATGAACTCCTGGTGCAGAGTTGCTTCAACTCTAGAAAAGAGAGAGTACTCTTGTGGTGTAATTTTGAAGAGCAGAGTGTTTCTGTTTGGAGGCTTTACCAACCGTGAGTCTGTGGATATATCTACTTCCATTGAAATGTATGACCCAGTGTCAAACATATGGACAGCCATTCAGAATAGCTCTGCACCAACATGCTGTTATAGTGTCACAAGTTTAAACGGAAGTGTTTATGTAATTGGATTTCAGAGCCATGATCGTTTCTTGTGGATTTATGACCCTGACAAGAATGAGTGGAAGCCCTGTGCTAGACTACCTAGCTTACTGCCAATTTCTTTGGTTCCTCTGAGAATTGCAAGAGACATTTTAAACATATGTAAGGTTGTAACATAGGTCTAGTTCTTTAAAGATCAGGATATTGTGAAGAACTGCACCATGAAAAAAAAAGCTTCATCATGGTCCTAATCACCACAGTTGGGTGACTGTAAAGTTTGTATAAAATTTGAAGAAGTTGATGATGTAAAGCACACTCGAGTCTTTTTTTTTAAAAGTGGTAAAATGTGTAAACCTTATGTTACCATGTATTCTGAATTAATTTGCTTCTTCACTGAAGGCCGAGCAGAATAGAAGGCAGAGTATAAATATGTAATCCAACATGCGGGCTGGACATTTCAGGTATACCCTGCAAGCAGAGTCTCCTTTGATCTTGGGATAGGCTGGGAAACGTTTTTCTCTCTTTTTAAAAAAATTCTTTGTAAAAATTTATAAAATTTAAATAAAAAATGAACACAGAGGATGCCCTGTTTTAAAGTGGAAACCTATTAAAGAGAGCGTGCATTGCATCCCATCTACTGGGGGCCAAGTAAATATATATAGATTAGCATCTAAAAAAGAAGTTTGAAAATGTGATCCAGGGAGAGATTGTGAGAGCAAATCTAGTTAATGAATTATAAAATCAAACAACTCAATCTGGCAGAGACCATTCTTTTTCAACTTAACAGTTTTATAAGCATAAAAAAAAGCAACTGTGCTCTAGGCAATAACATCTCTCATAAAACCTCTTTATAGTTATTACAGTAAATAATATTATCTAGTTAATAACCATATTCATAGGCACAAAGAATATATTGTTACAAAATAACTTCTGGTCTTCATAATGTTCTTGATACTAATGGCTTTGCATACTTAAATACTGTATAGCACCCCAAAAAGTCTCTAATGTTGTAGAATCTTACATGTGATTGTAAATCATTAGGGAGCTTAAGCAGAGAAGGTTTTGAGTGATGCACATCAACCAGAAGTGGACTTTTTGCATTCTTTGGCAGGGGTTTTGCCCACATTTTCGGGCAAATCCTCTCTATAAGAGCAAATAAGAGTAGTAATAACTACAAATCTTGTAGTTATTTAGGCATATCAAAAGGGAAAAGGTCTCCCTTTTGGTTGACATGCTTCGCTCAAAAACATCTTTGCTTAAAGCTCCCTTTTATTGGAAATTGTCTTGTGCAAGGTTCCTCTTAGTCTGAAATGGGGCAATGACAACGCTGACATTACAGACAAGGCCTCTCTAACAACTCTATACAAAAACTGAAGGTGTTTTTCTATTTTTAAAATAAAATTTAGTCAAAATGAACCTCGAGTTGTCTTATTTCCTTCTTGTAGTATACAAAACAACAGCTTTCTCCACGTCTTTACCGCTCAAGGGTAGTCTCCAACCACCTGCATCCAGAGCCTTTCTTTCGCTTGCTTGATTTTGATGTACAAAAGGATTGAATGGTTGCTAAGCAACACTTTACCAGGCTACTAGGTGCTCCCATTCTGACCAGTCAAAACCACACTTGGAAATGTTCCGAATCCTATTTATAGCCAGTGCCATTCCAAAATAGCCCAATCATCAGGCTTTGATTCATGATAAGAAAAACACTCAAGGCTTAAAAATAACTAATTTGGGCGAGTGAAGTGAGCCGCACGAGAACGCGGGAGCT